AGCATATATTCCATTTTTTTTAAGGACACAGTTTCTATGCGGCCAGCCCGCATATTGTAGAAATGCGGGCTTGGCAATAAATATATTTTAAAAAATAATTTGATCCTAATTTTTAGAGAATATATAATATTTAATATGGAGAATATGAATATGAAAAAAAATAAAATTGAAAACTATAAATAATAATTATATTAAGAAAACATTTCGACCGTTAGTTTCAATTGTTTTTAGATAGATGCAAATAGGTGGTCCATCCATCTTTAATATAAATGCTTCATACCTCTGGATCACATATTGTAGAAATACGGTCCAACCCGCATGAAACAATTTTATTTTTTTAAAAGATGTCTTTAGATTTATTATTGTACAGTGTTATCTTCTATCTATGAAAGTATTGAATGTTTTAGAATAATATTTTTGAAAAGAGTGTTATCTTCAAGGTATTCCATGATTTGAAATAATATTTTTGAAGAGAGTATTATTGCAATGTACAAAGGTATATTATTTTTCTGAGAAAACCTTAAATTTCTGAAAAAATCATATATTTCATTTTATTTGTGTTGCTAAATTTTTGTTAGGCTTTTATTTAAATTATTTTAGGTTTTCTTTTGTTTTATTTATTTTTATTCATTTTTCCTTTTATGAGAATACTAAGAGAATCATCGATCCAACCCCCAAGTCGACCAAGCAAGATTGGAATGATGGGCTTTGTAACTAAGGTGTCACCTATTTTGTAACAATGGTAGGGGTGGGATTGGGTAGGTTTGGGCCTGGGTAGGTCTAATTTTGACCTGAACCTGGTTCAGGTCTAAATCAATTTGACCTATACCCGACCCATTGGGTTGGGTCCGGTTGGGGTTTATAAACAAAAAATATTGTATATATTTTATACTAATTTAAAAAATTGCTTATTTTCAAAACACACGTGCTTCTAACTCTCAAAAACGTAAAAAAATAGGTGAAGGGAAGAACGAGAAACCTTCTACGTGCCCTTTTAAGCTTCTATCTAAAAAATATTATAAAAATTATGTCACGTAGTATATAAAAAATATAATAAAATAATAGTAGATTATATAAGGGTGTGGATATATCAATAGTATTTTAATAAAATAAACAATACATTTTAAAGATTGTATACAATGAAACCATTTACCTTTCATACATATAAGTCACAATTACTTATAATTTTTTAATTTGAAATTTGATAGCTTTGATGTGTCACAAAATTCAAAAAAATTTCCAATGGACGTTAAGCTTGGTCAATAAAATGACTGTAGCCACCCAATATCACATCTAGTGGTCAAGATCAATTATGACAACTTTTTACTAAAAGTAAATGATCTCATTATATATACTTTTCCACATCTAAAATATTTGGGCCAGGTCAAGTCAACCTAGACCCGAAACAAACTCAAAATCCCTACTTTTGGAAGAGGACTTGACCCATCAGGGCCAAAAATAAGACCCGTACTCGAAGCCAAGTCTGATGGACCCGACCGTTACCAACCCCTAATCAGTGGTCTCGCAAAAGCGTTTTAATGCATGTTATTGGAAAATAAAAATGCTTTTAGTAATGGTTAGTGGTTGACCCATCTGGGCCTAGGTTTCTCAAAGAAATTGGCAAAAAAAAAATCTTTACAAGTTTTATAAAAATTAGAAAAGAAAAATGAAAATAATATAATATCTGTTCAATATCACTTGCGGCCGAAGATTGGCTTACGTTATCCATCCATCCCTATCGTATAGAAGGAGGGGGACGTCTTTCGTTGCCTTTGGAATTGGGAAAAGGTTGTCACCAAAGACGAGCGACGATCGTCGACCGTCGACTTCACTCTAAACAAGATAATGAGAGAGGCGATAGGTCGTGGACGGGCAGGTATAGGGGTGGTAGTGGGTCGAGGGTTCGGGTTGACTGCTCGGACGTGACCCGACCCGACGAGATTTTATTGGGATTTAGACCTGATTCGTCTTGGTCTAAGTAAGACTCGAACCAGACTCGGGTGTGGGGTCCAAGTGATTTAGACCCAGATCCGGCTTGGATCTCAAAATAAAAAAAAAATATATGACAACATGATAAGGTGCATCCAGGACAAAGACCATATTCGGATACAAGTCATTTAGACTCAAACCCGACTCACTGGGTTTAAAACTCAAATAGGACCCAACCTAGTTTAGGTGAACCTGTGGGTCTTCTCAACCCAATTGCCAACCCTCGCGAGTCAACCAGCGAAACGAAAAGTTATGGAAGCCGCTTCTCAATTGGGCGAGTTATGAGTCACAGGTCAAAGAAGGCCTCCAAGCAAGCACCAATATCGTACAGCCAATCCAAATGGTGAGCAGCTATTTTTGAAGGTGTTACTTAAAAAATAGCGGCTCACCATTTGGATTAGGTGTACGATATTGGTGCTTGCTTGGAGGCTTTCTTTGACTCGTGGATGGGCAGGTATAGGGGTGGTAGTGGGTCGAGTTGGGTTCGGGTTGTTGATTGGGCTTGACTTGACCCAACCAGATTTTATTGGGATTTAGACCTGATTCAGACCATGGTCTTGGTCTAAGTAAGACTTGACCCAGACTCGGGTGTGGGGTCCAAGTGATTTAGACCCAGATCCGGCTCGGACATGGGTCTCAAAATAAAAAAAAAATATGACAACCAGATAAGGTGCATCCCGGACAAAGGCCATATTCAGATACAAGTCATTTAGACTCAGACCCGACTTATTGGGTTTAAAACTCAAATAGGACCCAACCTAGTTCAGGTGAACCTACGGGTCTGCTCAACCCAATTGCCAACCCTCGCAAGTCAACCAACAAAACGAAAGTTATGGAAGCCGCTTCTCAATTGGGCGAGTTACGAGTCACGGGTCAAAAAAGGCCTCCAAGCAAGCACCAATATCGTACAGCCAATCCAAATGGTGAGCCGTTATTTTTGAAGGTGTTAATAGGATGGTATCCGTGAGAATAGAACCCACACCATGGTGATTACGGTATGGGGGTGTTACGACCTCGCCCTTTTTTCAATGTTGAGCCATAGGGATAGCAATGGAACCGGCAGGTAGACCCGACTTCGGGTTTGAGTATAGATCCAAATTTTGAACTCGAATGTAATTCGGGTTCGGGTCCAGCGGGACAAGACCCGTTACCTGCCCCAATGAGCCACTATGGTGGCACACTAAAGCCTCTGACATCTGACCCATGCTGTGGTCAAATCTAAGTGGGTAAGGGCGCGAGAGTAGGGCTCGTAGCGGGCAAAGGATACTATTGGGAGCACGTGCCCGCAACTAGGAAACGCCTTTTTCGGGTTTGTCGTGTCCACGTGGCGGACCACACAGCTGGCTGGCAGTTGCTTTTTCCCGTAATGCATCCCTTATTCCGTTATCTGTCGTTACCTTGCGCCGTTAACTAAAACGGTCGCGGTTGTAATAAGTCTCCTATCTTATCTGGGAAAATTTTCTGACTTCTATCTCTAGAACCAAGACCATTAAAACCATAATCCCAACCGAATCATTCTTATGCCCAAAGTACCCATTTCTTTGGCGCAAAATAGCCGAGAAGCCCATAAGAAAATGCACGGACAACCGGGGGTATTATCATTAATTATAATTACTACGTCCAAGTGTACATTGACTCTATTGGAATGGTTAAATTTCTGTGTGGGGCTTTACGAAAACAAAATAGAGCCCTAAGGTCAAAATTTCATTCGGAAAACACTTTCCTTAATGGAAATACGATGGTTCGAAAATCAATTTTTAATCTAAAAAAATAAAAAATGGAACAAAAACAATATACCCATTTTGTAGATCACTTAATATTTATTTTTAAGATAAAATAAATTGTCTAGATAATTTGTTACGATATATATTATTTTATGTGCTTAAAATTTTTTTTTTTTTTTTTTCTATTTACAATTATGATCAACCTGATATGATCGATATAAATTTTTTTCCAATAATTCGATGAGGCATGTGTGAAGCTTTACTTATTTTAGAGCTGTAGCCCTATTAATTTAATATGGCTCTATTCTCAATGTCATATAGATATATACTATTTTATTTTAAATTTCTTTTACATAATATTTTGATACCAAAATTTGAGCTTCTATTGCTCTCTTAAACTCGCACTCGTAAAAATATAAAAATAATATTCTCAATAAAATAAAATGGCCAAAATGACCCAAAAAGTTTCAAGGATATTTTGGTTATTTTATCTAAAATATTGTTGTAATATTTTTTTTAGGTGCACCCTATTTAGATGATGGCATGTACCAAATTTTATATTCATCTAATTTGTAGAAAAATAATTAAAAATAAAATACTTTGAAACATCAGATTTAGATTAAATGATTAGTAACAATATTGGATGGCTAGATGGGGGGAAGTATATATTTTATGCGCAAGCCGGGCAATAGCCGGGCACTACAAAATAGAATTTGGGTTATAGGCTGAAGCCCAAGGTTTGGGCTACGACCTTATCCAATTCAGCTTGGCTCTCTTTTTTTTGTTGTTTTTTTTTTACTTTTTTTCATTTGTATCCACCCTGGTCTAGGTTGGAGCAATAGGAAGAGGTGCGAGGCCATGCGCCACAATGTATTGTTATTTGTTAATGGGGTGAGTTTTGTATGAGACATTAACTTTATACTATTGAAGTAAGGTGCATCTCAAAATTGTGTTGGAAATACAGATTCGATACTATAAAGTATATAAAAATCTATTGTCGTCCCCAATTATCAAAAATAAAGTTTCATAAAAGGTGATGATCATATATATCTATAAACACTTAAAAATATTGAAAATAAACGGTACAAATAATATTTTAGAAAATGAATTATTAGTAAGACTTAAAATCCCCGGACGTAGATATGATGGTTTTCAACCGTAGGAACAACCTTCGCTAGTGGGTCTTTTAGGTGCGCCTTACCGATATACTATAAGGTTGAGACCGTATATGAACTTTTTCCTCGTTAATGTAGAGAAGATACTGGGAGAAGTAAAAAGCGGGGGAAAAGGAGTGGTTTTTGGATGAAAAGCGGTTTTGTCTTTTGTTTTCTTTTGTCCACCCGCTGGCGGGTGGGGAGGAAAAGACACAGGAGCCAACTGAGCCAGAATGGTAAAATTCATGCCGGGAGTAACGCAAAGCAATGCCTGTGAATTCAGGAAATCAAAGCTGGTTTTGTACTGACCCCCTCTCCGAATCTGTCTCCGATCATCTCTCTGTACTACCCACACTATATTTTTATATCTAGAGAGACAATGTGTGCGTTTTAGAGAGACTAAGAGAGCGTGGTGCGTAAAGGACGACTCACTCAGCACAGAAAACATGTACAGGAGCAGCTGAGGTTAAATAAGTAATGAATGGTGGTGGTGGTGGCGGTGGGTAAAATGAGCATCGGATCAGAACATTTAGATGTAAATTAAAACAGATAGAGGAGGAAGTTAGCTGAGGAAAGCAATGGCTGCAACATGGGATCAACTGGGCGAGATTGCAACAGTCGCGCAGCTAACAGGCCTAGATGCCGTGAAGCTAATAGCGATGATAGCAAGGGCGGCGACCACGGCGCGCATGCACAAGAAGAACTGCAGGCAGTTCGCTCAGCATCTGAAGCTCATTGGTAATCTATTGGATCAGCTTAGGATCTCGGAGCTGAAGAAGTATCCGGGGACGAGGGAGCCTTTGGAGGGGCTTGAGGATGCGCTCAGGAGGTCATATGTGCTTGTCAACAGTTGCCAGGACAGGAGCTACCTCTACCTCCTTGCCATGGGATGGAACATTGTCTATCAGTTCAGGAAGGCGCAAGGGGAGATCGATCGATACCTCCGCCTTGTCCCTCTCATAACCCTGGTAGACAATGCCAGGGTCAAGGTAACTCTCTGCCTCTCTCTCTCTCTCTCTCTCTCGACTACTCTCCTTCGTCTGTTCTCTCTCTCTACTACTCTACTGTGCAGGATTTACTTTTTTTTGGGTAGATTCCTTGGGTTTTTTAAACTTTGGCCTTTTTCTTTTGGAATTTTCTTTTCTTTTATTCTTCCTTCCAAATCCTCAAGCTTTTAATTTTTTATTTCCTTATATTATTATTATTTTGGTTTTTGGTTTGGGTTTCGGGATTTTTCGCTTCCCCTCCTGGTTCCATTTCTTTGTTTCCTTTTATCTGAGTGTTATTTTCGTTTCCCTTTCTCATCTTTCTAACCATGTCTTTTTTATTGGGGGTTATTTTTGTCTTTTTTTTTGGTTATTTTCATGTATTCTTGTTCTTTGGTTCGTTGATTTTACTTTTTCGATTACAATTGGTTTTTATTTTTACCTATTTGCTAAATGTTCCTATATTTTATTTCTGAAAAATCTTATTCGTGTTTATGTTGCTGTGGTGTTAGACAATTTCTTTGCAAATAACTGAGAAAACTGAGATTCCTATTCCCTGGGGTTCTCAAATGAAATCTATTGACATGTGCTCCAGTTCCTTCCATCAGCTTGGTTGTATCAGATGATTTTGTCTTCCCTGTTTTTTCTCCCAAAAAAAGAAAGAAGAAAAAAAATCTTCCCTGCAATATTAACTCATCATATCTGTTTGTTCTAAAATGTGCTTCTCGCCTTGTCCATTCCTTTTCTTACTAGGTTTCATTATGATCCGATAAGCAGATTCAACATTGAAGTGAAATTGATTGGTGCCCCAACTTTGATTACTTACTTCTTGTGAATGATGTGCTACTTCGGTTTACCTGCTATGAATGCTACCTCTTTTCACATACCTAGAAATGATGGTTACTCATTGATATTGCTGTGATACTTGTATGCTACACCTGCGTGCCAGCTATAATTGTTACCCCCTCTCAATGTACCTTGAAGTGATCGTTATTCATTGAGATTGTTGTGAATTGTGTCGTAAAAAATCTTTTAACTTATAGAAGTGCTATTGTTTTTCTGTCAATGTTATGAAATGCAGCTTGTAGCAACCTGTAGACGCCTGACTTCTGTAGGAACATAAAAGGAATTTAGGTGGCCAAATTATTGTAACAGTGACAGTTGAGAATGTAATTGATATTGTACTAATTAAGATGCTCAGGGCTTAAATAACCTGAAATCTGTCCTCACAAGCACCTTGATTTGTAAGGCTTCGAGTTTTCTTATTCTATTTAATCAACTATTCACTCCTGGATAGATAGCAAATATTATTGTTTTCTCAATGGGTTGTTCCACCAAAAGGAAAAAAAAAGGATCCTTCATCAAGAAATTTAATTTGAAGACTTTCTGATCATCCATTCTCAAATGTCCTGTGCAAGAGAATACCCTGATTCAACAGACGGTCTTGGTTCTTGTGGCTTTCTCTTTTTTGATATCTACCAATAGCAATTTTCAGATGGATCTCTCATGGACTTATTTTTGGCCATTATTGATGGACAATATTAATGTGCAGAAGTTAGACATTGCATTTTGATGCGTATCCTCCAGCAAAAATATTACGATGGCAAGGAACAAACGCTAAGCACTCAATTTATTCACCAAGATATATTAGAGAAGGAATTGAACATGATAGAATAATCAAGCTTCATAGTTTATTCACAAAAGAAATCAATGACTTCAGTAGATAATAAAGATTCCTTTCAATTCCCTAACATCAGCATTTAAATAACTTTAAACCCAAAAGTTCATAAATAATTCTCGGCATCCATTCCCTTGTAGCCCACCATCTCTTCCGATTGTAATCCTACTAAATATAAATAACATAAAAGACTCCAAACTAAAAAAAAGAAGCCTAAATACACCATAATTTTGTGACTTCCTTAGAAACCCATAATTTTCCCTAAAACATATAAAAAAAATCCAAAAATCAAGGACCCATGTCTATGTCACTTTTTCTTATGAGCTGGAGGATTGCTTTTCTCTGTTTTTTTTGGTCAACATGTGAGAACAAAAAAGTTGTGTGTTTGTGGATAGATAGAGCTGGATAGAGAGAGAAAGTTATTGTGAATAGGGAGATGAGGGAAAATGAAGGAATATTTGAGTTAGGGTTTGGACAAGAGAAAAGAAACAAAAAATACCTATATGGATAAAAGGAATGTGAACATGTTTCATTCACAGGCAGAGAAGAGAGGTGATAGTGATACAGAGAGATAATGGACTCTTCTGTGTTTCAATAAGTTGCATGGTTGATTTTACTTTATTTAGTGGGTCCTTAAAACCTTAAATCTTGGGTTTCCACTTGACATCCACATCAATACCAGGAAGATAATTTCATTTGCAGAGCAAAGAAGTGTTTCCCCCATTGCATCGTTGAGCCGTATGGTTTCTATCGATTTTAGGGTGATTGTGCTTGTATTGTGCGAGGTTATTTTGTGTCAACTTATTTAAGCTCATTTAACTTATTGATATCTTGATCATTATATAATGAATGAAGTCTGCCAATTGTAACTCATTTTTATAGAAGACCTTGAGCTCCATTATTCCCTAAGAAGAACGGTTCTTTCCCAGTTATTTCACAATATGACATGGTATCAAATTCCCAACTGACCAGCATAGGAAAACTAGGTTTTGTTGCAGGTGCTACCCCATCTTCAATGTATCTTCGCGATAGATTCTCAACTTTCATGAATTTTCTCCCAGATGAAAAAATGGATTGTGGGTTTTTGGAATCAACCACATTGTATTAAGATGTGAGCTAGGCTGTTTTGCCTACCTCAAGGCTGCCTGCCTTAGGTAGGGCAGCCGAGGCCGGTGACTAAGCCTCCCAGACATGGCTGGTGGGTGCCTGTTGCCTCGGGCCAATGTGCATTGCCAACATGAGGCTGCCTGCTGTTTTTTTTTTCTTGTGTGTGTGTGTGTGTGTGTGGTGTGGTGTGGTGTGAGAGAGAGAGAGAGAGAGAGACCCATTGGCTATGAAGAAGCTCATGACTGGTGCCTTCTCATAAAAAAATTAGAATGTTTTTCCCTTATTTTTTATTTAGTACAGACAAAAATATTTCTTGAGGCTGTGGCATATACAGCAGTGGTCCAAATGTCTTTTGAAAAGCCAGTCCCAGCATTGGAAACACTGCAAATCCATCATCTCCACCTTAACAGACATATCTGGAGAGAAGAAAAAGAACAAAAGAAAAAGCTTCAAGGCTCGTATCTTGCTTAAAAAAATCAGTCCCAGTGATGCAACCACTGCAAATCTATCCTCTCCAAACCACAATGAACATCCGATTCATGTCTCTAGGAATTATTTCATATGGCCAAAAAACCGGTCCAACTTGCAACACCTTTCCTAGACCATCCAATTTATGTCTTAACATATCCTAGTTCTACACCATTTTTGTAGCTTTAAATCGCACTCTGGGAAAAATTGGATTTGCACGACACCACTCTGTCTTTGGTGCCAAATATGAGTTTTCGAGCTGGTTTTTGGGCTGCTGCTGTATACAGCTGCTGCCTTTCCAAAACCTCAGATCAGCCCTTGGTGGTTCTCCTTGATTATTGTATCCTATTTTTTCCTAATCTCTTTGGATTAATATGTGCTTTGTGTCAAAAAGCGCCTGACTCTGGCCCCGTAGTGGTGCCTCAAGGTGGGACAGTGGCCCAGTTGCCTTGCCTAGGGAAAATTGGTCTCCCCTAGGTGGGCCAACCTTGGTGGGTGCATATAACCGTAGTCAATGGCCAAGGTACTCCCCTCAGGCTGCCATTGACCGAGGGTGGAAAATGCCCCCCTGCCATGGGTATTTCCATCATTTACCGCCTATTCAGAGGGTGAAAGACATTGGTGGGGTATCTTCCAACCATCCCCCTTCCCCCCCCCCTTCCCCCCAAAAATACAAATTGACCTGGTTCCCTGGATTTTTCTTTTGAAAAAAATAAAAAAGTATGGTTTCTTATAAGATCAGAAAAGGAAAAACCTAGTGCAGATTCTCTTACGAAGGCGCTACTTCACATGCTATCATCAGCGGGAACCGCCACAGCTGTTTTTTGAGCTCAGTTCTGGGTTTTTTAGCTTTTTGGTTCTTTTCTCTGGGGTTTTTATATAGTGTGCTGTCATGGGCACCACTCTCTGTTTGGTGGCATTGCGGCCTCATTTTTTGTTAGCAGGCATAAATACTATGCTCAGATCTGAAAGATGTTGTAATCCTTTTTTATGGTAATACATATACAAAAGTTAACTGCTCAAAAAGGAAAAACCTTTAAGAAATCAAATCAAATCCAAAACTTTTGGAGTTGATTGTTTGTGAAATATCAAGAGAAGTTACAAATGGAGATTTTGGATTATTTAAAGCTTGACATGTATCCAGAACATCAAGGGTCGAATATCGAGCGATATAGATTAGTCTTTTTGTTTAATAATTTTATTTGAGATCTTTTGGATGGTTTGTGGTTGTGTTACATGTATGAAATATGATATAACATTTACCTACTTGTTTTCAAACTTTGGACTTTTCCTGTCATTTGTATTTGTTTTGTTGAATTGTTTATGCATATACTTCATGTATTATATATAATTTATTTCATCTGTATATAAAACATAGAAACTATAATGCTGCATATGTGCAAGGCAGCACCTATGTCAGCCCCCGGGCCGCTTAGGTGCTGTCTGACATTTTGTAATACATTGAAAATGCCCTTAGTTAATTTTGAATCAGATCTTATAATCTTTGTGAGGCTTTTCGTGGAAAAAGTAAAAGAAAAGAGGAAAAAAGAAGAAAACTGAAAGTTGGTCTTGGTCTTGTACATAGTTATGGGGATTGACCTTAAAGGATATATAGTTCCAGCTCCCTAGTTCCAAATCAGGGATCTCAATCGGATCGCGTTTTGTTCTTTTTTGAGGGAGCTCAATCCTTTTTCTAGGAATCGCAATCCCTTATTTGTAGGGATCTGGATCCACCCTAATGAGGTAGCTCGATCCTGCTATTTGTGGATCTTGATCCCTATCATATTGGGATAGAGATCCATCGATTTTGGAATCTCAATCCCTGTATTTGCGCATCGCCATCCACATCATGTAGTGATTCTAACATCACAAATTAAATTAACGTGAGTGCTATATATACATTGTGGACTATAGAGTATTAAACTAGAGTTGTAAAATATATAAAACTATATCAAGAATTGAAATAATTAAAGCATTTAACACAATGGGAAGAGGGAACCTTGTCCGTTGCGCGATGGGATCTAGTTTCCGTCAGCATTGGGACTGTGATCCTTTATATATATAGATCGATGACCCCAATTTATATGGATGGCGGTCCTTGGGTATCTGGGGTCGAGATCCCTGAGATGTGTGAAAACCAGCCCTTTCGAATCCAGATCCCATGAGTGTTGGGGCCGGGATCCTTTATGGGATCCGACTCTGGGCAAGATATGTTGTACATATTGCGATCCCGGACTGCCGGATCTTTTGGTTCTTGTCGATTTGACGATCCCGTTCCCAATCACGTAGCTGTTCTCTCTCTAGTTCCAGATAACTATGGTCTGCCATATACACACGATGTGCATATTGCCTTCTGCTTTTAAAAACATTGAACTGGAGTTCCATGCACCTGCAATTGTAATCATTATGTGAACCACAATTGTTAAGAGGTCCATTTCTACTTGCCCTCGGTAATGGTCGGCAGAAATGCATAAATTATTGCATTTAATTCATGAAAAGACTTGAAAACAAGTGGTTGTTTTTTCTTTTGTCATATGCATTGAGTACTAACTACTCTTTGGTGTGCATCCGGATCCTTTGTGCCATAGTCACATTGACAAGGATCTCTATGAGAAAGAAATGAACATTTCTTTCGGGCTGATAGTGCATCGTAGTTTTTCCTTTCACTCTCTTATCTTTTCATAGGGCACCGATGGGTGCATCCTGTCATACTCAATATTTGTTCCAAGTTTGTGAGTAATCGGTGCTCAATATTTTTCCCTGGGTAATGGTTGGCAGAAATGCATAAATTATTGCATTTAATTCATGAAAAACTTGAAAACGAGTGGGTATTCTTTCTTTTGTCATATGCATTTGAGTACTGACTACTCTTGGGTGTGCATCCAGATCCTTTGTGCCATTGTCACATTGACAAGGATCTCTATGAGAAAGAAATGAACATTTAGTTTGGGCTGATAGTGAGTCTTACTTTTTCCTTTCACTCTCTAATCTTTTCATAGGGCACCGATGGGTGCGTCCTGTCATGCTCAATATTTGTTCCAAGTTTGAGAGTAATCGATGCTGCTGAGGTCCTATGATATTCATTCCTTCTTCCTTAGATTTGCAGGCATCAATAAATGCTTGTTATTTTGGAATTGTTTTTAGTTTTAGGTATTTCCTAGAATACCCTTGTCTTTTGTGGAAAATCGTTACTATGTGCGAGTCTTAACATAAATATATTTTCAGATCCAAATAGTGCAACATCCAACGTTCTCCAAATGACATATGAGATTATAAAGAGTGGATTCTCAAAGGATTTTGCCATGCATTGCCACCGTTTTTTATTACTGCATTCTATCATTTCTGTGGTCAATCATTGGTGCTTTTGTTAACTACTTGTTGCTCATGAAATTGTCCGCTGGGTATGCAAAACAATTCTCCTTTTGTCCATAGTTACGTGGGAAAAAAAAAAATCCTTTCAGAAACTATCTTTTTAAATTACGAAAAGAAGACATCAACAATGGGATGTTGGGATGAGTTTCTACTTACGAAAAACGCTGAAATTAACTTAACCACTAGTTTCAAGGTGGCTGTAGTGAAAATTTTATTACATGTACAATAATTTCAGTAGTTTATGTAAATGGTCATGGTTAAATACAAACATATAGGGTTGGAAGTCTCATAAATTGTATTAATACATGGAAAATTTCTACTCTGTTCTCTTTATTTGGACCATTGATGAATATGGAAAGGAGTTATGTTATCCACACTTAGGATCTTGGAAAATTTTCTTTCATTGGCAGTTCATTGTTTCAACTTCTAAAGTGTTTGTTAATGTACCTTCCTGTGCTAGTTCATAGATGCTATATCTAGAAGTTTAGTTGTCATTTCTGCAGAAAGGAAGCATTAATTATGCAGTCTTTATTACTTGTCATTTCTGCAGAAACGAAGCATTAAATATGCAGTCTTTATTACAATTTTTTTTTGGGGGTAGTTCTGTGGGGGAAGGGTTCCCTTCACTATTAGGGCTGGTAAATATACAACCACAGGACATTTGTTGTTGATTACAATATTTCAAAGTTTTAGTGGTATTACATGATATATTGCTGTTTATTTATGAAGTCTGATGATGGTTTATTTGCCAATTTGGTAGGAAAGACTGGAAGTTATTGAAAAGGATCAGCGTGAGTACACTCTAGATGAAGATGATGAAAAGGTTCAGGATGTAATTCTAAAGCCAGAGCCGAGTTCAAAAGATACAATGGTACTGAAAAAGACTCTCTCTTGTCGCTACCCAAATCTAGCATTTGATGAAGCTCTTCAAAAGGAAAATGAGAAACTCCAGGTTGAACTACAAAGGTCACAAGCCAATATGGATGTTGGTCAGTGTGAGGTGATCCAACACTTAATTGATGTCACAGAGACTGTTGCCAATAATCTCTCTGAGAAGAACTCTCACTCCCGAAACTCCAAGCAAGTGGAGCCTGATTGTCCTTCTGCCAATAATGAGAAGGAATATGAAATGGATGATGTCTATCACAGGCAACAGCATGATACTCACACTCCTTCAAGGTTGGTTTTGCATTGTTATTTTGTACCTATGATCAGTTCTATCTAGCAATAGATTGTTATCTTATGTGGTTTATTGATCTTTTTAATGTAGAAACTTGTTGTACAGGGATCCTTTGTACTTTTAAGTGATTTTTTTCTTGAAGGTATTTTTCCAGTGTTTTATGTCCATCTTGTAATGTTAACTACGAGTGCTAGCCTATGAGCATACTCTTATGCTTCTTGCGTGGTCATGTTTTAGAAACCATTATTTTATGTTGAGCATATCTAACTTGTCCATAGATATCTTCTATTCTATATCTGCGAATATTTCTTGAAACTCTTGCCTTTTCTTATCGATGTCGTTGTTTGCTTGTTTGAATTCATATTCTGATACTTGAAAGGCCTTGCAAATCATTGTACTTGGTTTATAATGATTTTCCTGCTGCTGCAGCTCGACTATAAATTTTGTGTTTGCAGGGCTCACTCTATGGCATTTACCTTTTGAATACTTGTGGATACTTCTTAATGAAATATTGTTTTTTCTAAATAATGCAATTATTATCTTGCCTGAAGTTTGAATAAATAACAAGTTTATCAGTGAAGCTAAACATTCCAACAACGTTCATTTCTTATGTAACCTATGTTAAGCTATGGTTGGAATAACTGGTGAGTGGAAACTGAAATGAATGAAAATTGAGACACTGTGTGAAGGTGTAATTGTCAGAAGGTGTAATTGTTCTTTGCTACTGGATTCTAGTACCCAATTGTCTTTCAAATGCCTCTAAATACTTTTCTCGCTTGCATATTCAACTTTTGTTTTCAGAGCTATGTTATCCTTCAATTCTTTCCTGTTCAAGAAGTTTTTCATTGTTCAATATGTGCTTCCATGTGTGCTTGTGTGATCCTGTCAAGACTGTGTGCACATGCATATGCATGCAAGCATGCTGTATGCACATGAATATTCATGCAAGCAATGCTGTGTGGACAAAAAATATGTTTTTGTGTATGCAAGCGCTTGCCCACATTGGTAGACTTCAAATGCTGATTAGTAATATTTGATGCTGATCACTACACTTTGCAGAAATGCATCTCCAGTTTCATCAGGGCGGGATTTGATATCAGTGAGAGGATCTCATAGAAGTGACGAATGGCATACGGATTTACTTGGTTGCTGTTCAGAGCCTTGTCTTTGTAAGTTTTTGTTGTTTTTCAACTTCTAGTTGTGGATCTTGTGAGCAATGCTTTTAAGCCAAGGCACCTATCGTGGTTTCTTGCAGCAAGGATTTAATAGTGGCAAGTCATATTTCTTGTTGCTTCTTGTTGTCTTTTGTAGTTTCAACCATAGTTGTTGGAAACACTTGGGAACCCGAATCGTTTTAGGAACTGAAATTGCCGAATCGTTGTCGGCTAGAAGATTCCTGTCTTAGGAATCGTTGTCTGTACAATAGGAATCACGGGGAACGAGATTCCTAGTTTTTGAGAATCGTGTTTTGACTGAAATAGATCCAAGTTTCATCCACATATGGAATCGAGATTCCCATCCCCCTGGAATTGACACTCTAGGAGTCAAGATTCATTAATATGCGAAATCGAGTTTTCGAATCTATGTAATCGAGTTTCTGACATATGTGGAACAGAGATATGTTGCTGTTTCGAATCGTGATTTTAACATATTTGGAATCAAGTTTTTGAAGTATATGGATCAGAGATCCATGCCAGTTTGAGATCGATATTTATAATAATATGGACTATGGAATGTATTTGGCGACCCCTACTAGGAATTGAGATTTCATTTTCATGGAGAAGGAAGCCCCATGCACATCTTGAGCCTTATCAACTTTAGAACCTATATTGGATGTCTCTTATTAGAAGGTTTCCGAAATTTTAAAGTGATTGTATTGACTATTGAGCTTACGGTCATTATATATAGAAGATAAGTGTTTCTAAATTTTGATTTTGACTTCATTATTATAAAGACAAAATAGGATTATGTCTATGTCATGGTTTTACTTTCAATTGTATGTGTTGTATTTATTAGTTATATTTTAAATTTAAAGTAAAAGCAGTCTAGGGTGGTACAAGTAAAATAATGAAAACTTGCAACCACTAGAAGCATTCGAAGGAAGATTTCTACTCCAATTTCCTTTAGGAAGTGCACAACCATCATAGACATTGGACATTATGTATTTTGAATTGTTTTTTTTTTTTGATACTTTAAATTTATTTAGTTTTGAATCAAGATTTAATCCTTGCTAGAATCCTTATTCGATATATTTGGGAACGTTTACCCACAATTAATGGGTTCAAGTTTCTAAAGATGTGTTGGATCGAGATTCCGAAATTAAGGAATTGAGTTTCCTTGGTTCTGATAAATAGTTTCCAAAGATGTGTTGAATCAAGATTCTGAAATTAAGGAATCGAGTTTCCTTGGTTCCGAAAAATGGTTTCTAAAGATGTGTTGAATCGAGATTCTGAAATTGAGGAATCGAGTTTCTTTGGTTCCAAAAAATGGTTTATGTCGATATTCCATAATGGAAACACGGAATCAGTTTCGGAACCAGAATCGCCAGGTCGGTGGAGATATTCTTGTAACCGGGGTTTTAACTTGTACAATTTCACCTGGATCATCTGCCATGTGGTACCTAATGGTGCAGATCAATTGATACATACATGTAAAAGGAGGAAATTAGAGCATTCTTATTGAAACCTATACACACTATTTCTTATTTAAAGAACACTAGGAAGGACTATCTTACTTGTGGAGATAATGTCAACTGTCCATAATATGTAGGAAAATTTGCTGTAATTCTCTTGATCACAGTATTGTAAGTCATTTTTGACATACCTATATCCCTGGTGCAAATAAGGAGAGAGCCAGTGACGACCTAGTCCTGCTGGTACCCAAGACACCGCCAGATCGAGGAAACACTTCAGTATAAGCCTAACACTAGGTAACCTTTGAAAATGTACTATCACGCCACAAAGAGACCTTACAACTACAACCCTATGCTAGGGCTTCAAAACAATACCAGACCACTGCCATTGCATCCAGAACGTCGAAAAACCCCCAAGGACCAAATTTGGGCTTCAAAACAATATCAGACCACTGTGGCACCGTATAGCATCCCGCTATCCGACATACGTTTGACTCAATACCTTTCAGAGTCAGCCTAAGAGTTCCAACCCTCAGACCATCGCTCTAACTTCCTCTCCATACAATCGAGTTGAGTCGTGAGAGATGCCTACGATCTCTCCTTCAGTCACTTGGGAGGAGTCTTTCTGAGTTGATAGTCGAGAGAGTTCTAACCCTTGTTTGCCCTGATCGCCCGAGCGCATAATGTTTGCGCGGATAGGGGGATTCTCGTCACCTTTCTCCTCTCATTCTATTTCTTGTCAGCCAACCTCTCGTTTGAGTGAACTTTTATAGAGGAGTACAATTGAATCCGCAATGCAGTTTCCAGCGCAAGAGAACGAAGTGACGTGTTAAAAGCTTGAGGAGAGTTCGTGTCCAAACCACGTTGGCAGATAGCCGGAGGGCTCTGTGATTGTTCTAAGAGGGCGAACTGCCCAGGTGTGTCTCGAACCCCAAATGACAAGGTAAGTGTCTAAAACGCACCCCCGTCGCAAAATCTCTCTTTGTTGGATCCTATCCGCGTATAGGAGAGCACGAGTGTACACACTCACAAACGTGCAGCGCGCGTGGATCCTCCGCGGTTGTTTGAGAGAGGATTTTTCCCACCGTACGCGTGAGGAAAAATCAGGCCCGACCATACAGGGCATATATTTTCATGAGGGTTACCCTCATAAAATCAAGGAGTGGATAATGGAGAAAGGATGGGTCTCAACCTCTCTCTTTCATGGTATAACTCTTAAATTGGGTAGTGAGCATCATCATCTTTGGTCATGAAGATTACAGTGTGCTTTGCCCAGTCCAAAATACTACTTTTGAGGATATTCTCTTATTCCCTTTGCTGTCTTGGGATTGTTTTGATGTTTATTTAAAGCATCGTAAATCATGCTGAGAAATGGACTTCATTGATTCTTCTCACATATTTTTCATGGTATTTTGCACTGGACATAGGTAACCTTCCTCAATCTACTATACTGGCACTTGGAAGTTTGTTAATTTTAAAAGTGATGTTTATAGTTGGATTCTTAGGAGTTCTATTAGTTAGCTCATGTTCACATTAAAAATATTTTCACTGGGTAAGATTTCTCCACATGTTGAAACAAGGATTTGTCAATTAAAGCACTGTGGGCATTTTCATAAAACTTGAGGAACTTTATGGCATGCTTGAATATCTGGATTTCTGCAGTACTTCTGTGTTTGATAACAGTAAGTTCTATAGTGGGAGGCCTGTCTGGATTTTCTATGACATTGGATACTACCAGTTCCATGTCCCCCCCATGGAAGACTGAACTTTGAAAAGGGCTGATGGATTGCTGCATCATTTTCAAATTTGTTTCCGATACATTTTTTTATTTTTTTGTTTTTCAGAAAACTCACATATAAATGATTTTGGAGGGTTTGTGCGCCTCACAGGGCACATCTTTAAAAAATATAAAAAAGTGATTCAAAACATCCCTTGATGTTTTACGGGTATTTTGGCTAATGTACATTTTTTAAATCTTTATAGAAATAGTTTGGACAAGGCTCAGATGATGATGATGACATTTTCAAATATTTATTTTGTATTTAGAGGTGCACGAACGCTAGAAGAATGGGCGCCTCAAATTTCAGCTCATTATCATGTACATTAAAAAAGATAAAATTTAAATACTAAGACATGCTACCAACCGCCAGATCAAGATTGGATAATTGAGATTGATGTCCTTTTAGGTGAACTACAATGTAGCATGTTTGGTGATTTCGAAAATGTTAGGCCTTGTATACATCCATTTTTATTTTTTTATCTTTTTTCCAATCTCAGATTGAGAGTAAGTTTAGAGTGTGTGTTCAACTTATTCCGGTGCATCTATAAACACAAAAAAAAAAAAAAATTCAAACAAAATAAATGACCAGAAAACCCCTCCAGGCAACTTTATTTTCTGGAATATTTTTTATACCTTTTACCAGTGCATGAGGTTGAGAAGTGTAAATACCTAAAGTTGTAGCCCAATCCAATGTGTAGAAAAAAAAAAAAATGACATCATGAGACATACTTTCAACTATCTATTTTGTGGTGACCTACAACTACATTTAGTTCTTTTTCATGTTATCAAGATTCGACATTTTTTAGACATACAATGGATGGCCTATGATTTTTAAATCTTGTTGAAAAAGAATATCAGCCTCTCATGATAAAAACTTCAATGAATTGTTAAAATTTGCTAATTTTCAGATCTCCAGGTTTCAAAAATTCCAAGTTCAATCAAAGATAGGTTCTCAAACTTCCTAGAATTCCGTGAATTCCGGACAGGTTATCAAACACAGTATTTTTCAGTTCCAGACATCAGAATATCTAGCTTCTAGCCCCACCTCCCAAAGAACTTCTAGCTTTAAGATATCAAACAGGCCCATAGATTAATTTTTATGCGAAATCTGGTTTGCATCCTTGGCTGTGATATTGGGGACAAGGATGCTGGCAAGGCCTGAAATTCATTTTGTTAGTCTAGATACTATGGGAGTGCTGTCTTCTGTAGTGTAATATCTGGTTTTTGGGATGCAAATGACGAGTACTATTCCCCCCAAAAAGAAAAAAGGAAAAACACTTGACACGAAAAGAGAAAGGCGTAGTTGGCTATATTGCTCCACGAAATTGCGAGTAGCTTCAATTGTGGTATGAATGGTTTATGTGCCACTAACTTGAGCACAAGGTTTTGGCAAGCTGTGAAAGGGCTTTCTGTGATCAAGCAGTACATCGTTCTTCAGATCTGAAGGCAATGTATACGGCATCCTTTTTGATGCTTGCGTGTCCTTCACATCTAAGTCGTTGATCCCATGACATAATTTCCTTTTCTCTGAGTTGTTTGGTATTGAATGAAGTTGAGCTATTGTTTACGATTGGATGCCGTAAGCAAGATAAAAGGGAACTCATGAAACTACTCTACGTCAATTTTTACTGCTTTTTTTTTTGTCTATTCAAAATTCATTGTAGGATTGCTTAATGTTGTACTTATGATAACTACTTTATGCTTAATAAGAAATTTGGGACTACTTGCATTTAGTATATGTCGTGTCCAAAAGGCCTGCCATTGTCAACCGGAACACAAATTGTTGTGCTTGAGGGTGGGGCAAAACTTAGTTTAAGGATATCGCTAGCGGGCATGATGAGGCTCTCGTGGACCCGTTCGAGGTGGAGAAATTTGTTGATCTCGGAATTTACATGGATCAATTCAATTACCTTGGCATTTTGTAGGCACCTCATTTTTTATTGTGTGATTATTTGAGTCTTCATCAAAAGCATGTCGATTTGAAGTTGTAGTTTTCCCTTCCTTTCTTCAGAGAGGGTAGATAAGATCATATGTTGCTCCATTTTGTTTAGGCTTGAAGACATGTTTCTACCCTTGCGGGACGTCTTCAAAGATTGCAGCTGTGGCTTCAAATGGAGACACTTGTGAGTATATCATTGAATATAAGTTTTTCATCTGATATATATCTTTTCGTTGTTGTAAAGTTTCACGTCGTTGAATTATTTAATCTGGAATCAAGGCTTATATCATGATGTATGTTGCAGTGTTGGACTTTGCCATCATATTTAATTTTGATACTTAAAAGACTTTAAATATGGGGACACAAAAGTATACAAATGCTCTTAACACAACCTATGCTTAAGTTGAACAGGTGGCACACAACCTAGAATAGCATTCATGTCAAATGGGAGAATTGGATTTTTTGCATTTAGAGAGATTCGGAATATTTGTAAATGTCCCTTCTAAATAGCCTTTCGCTGTGCAATTTCTCCTCAATTTGTAATAGCAAAAAATAAACTAACAGGGTGTGGATATAGCTTATTCTGGCAGTAGCAGATTTTACACTTGCTCCTGCGGGTGAAATTTTGTGGGTGTTTGATCAGAAATTTTGGGGACATTGTCAGCTTTTCTTAACTTTCCCCCTTTCCTACTAGATTGACTGCTGGGGTTAGTAGGGAACATCCCCAAAATTTGGGTCCACAAAGTCTGCAAAGTTGGTAATCACGTGCATGAGAATGTGTTCATTTTGCTCTTGGGTGACCATGTAGGCAAATGACATCTCTTGAGGGTTTCGATAAAAGTGGGACACTGGCAGAAATGGGCTTGCTGCTTCGATTCATTTCAAGTTTTCTGGTGATACCTTTATGGTTTAGAAATGGATAGTATATACTATACAACCATTTACTTTTGATAAAAGTCATAATTACCTCTACCCGTTGGATGTGCATTATAACAGCTTGGTGTGTGTGTGATAAGTTTCAAAAAATCTTCTTTTGGACTTTGCCGGTCATTGGCACACCCCAGCCGTCGTATTACATACCCAACAGCCAGGGTGATTGTGACCTCTTTATAACAAAAGTACATGGTCGTAATTGTATACTTCTCCTTAGAAAATGTATGAATGTCAGTTTTTTTCTTTTTTGTGTTGATAATAGTGTGTATTGTTTCCATCAATAATAGAGATCCTAATTATTTGTGTTTACCTTCTTCTGTGTATCAGCTCCGGAGCAAGCTTGTAATGACTTGATGACATACTCATTGCTATTGGCATGCTGTTGTTACACTTGTTGTGTCAGACGGAAGCTTCGGAAGATGTTGAACATCACGGTATCTGATGATTGCTTCCACCTCCAATGATGAAACTACTGTTCATATGCTGTTCAGTAGGATCATGTTCATTGCAGAAATATATAATTCATTTGTCCTTGGATTTTTTTTCTTCATGTCAAGCTGAAGGAACATTCCTAATTCTGAAATTGAGTACAACAGCATGAATCATAACAAGTTATGTGCTATATCACTATTAGCCAGTTTTATCTGTATCATTGCTGAAAAGGAACTGAATAAACCCTAAATAACATGTTCTTTGTGTTGTACTCTTACTATATTTTATATTGAACTCCTAGATGCACACTGTGTGTGTGTATGTATGTGTTTATATATATGTATAGATATTGTTGCAATCATTATGATTCTGTGCTAATGAAATTGACCACTCTAGGGAGTTCATGCGTACCTTGTTTAGTCCATCCTATTTATTTGTTATAATTTTGAAAACTCTTGGAAGATCTAGCAGAGATGCTTTTTCCATAATGGTTTGTATGGTTTGGTTTTTGCATCATTTTTCTGATTGTATAAATGTAATGTTTTCAGGGAGGTGTCTGTGATGATTTTCTTTCACATTTAATGTGCTGTTGCTGTGCTCTAGTTCAAGAATGGCGAGAAGTTGAGATCCGTGGGGCATATGGTTTGTTTTATCATAAAATTTGTGCTTGCGATAATTCTCTGGTTTTTTGCATCCTTTATCAGCTGTATTTTAGTGGGCAGCCATGCCCTTGGCTGGACACTGAGACACCTGGTATGTAATGAGAGAGGGCTTGGTGTGGGCCTCTCTCTTGCAAACCATGCTCATTGTTGAGAGAATTTTAAAAAAATTGATATCATTTATGTTGCTATAGCTAATTGGCCATGCATCTTCTACCAACTATCTCACAAGGGAGATGTAAATCTATGCAGGCACTTACAAGACGAAAACTAGCCCACCAGCTTCTCAGTACATGGAATCATGATGTGCTAAATAGAGAAATTGACATTTTAATTGTCGGCCAATTATAATTTGTTCACTCTTAGAAAGTGGCGTGTGTTTTACCTGTAATTGATTGTTTGAACACTTCGGGTATGACCTGTTGATAAATTTGGTAGTCAGCCCTATCTTTAGGACTACCTTGTATCATAAGTCAGCTTCATTAAATAGAATTTTTAGTTGTACTTGTATGTTTCTAGCTTTCAAGATCGTTTTCCCTTTTCTTTTCTTAGACTTCTTTGCAGGAGGTGTACAGATAGAACATGTGTGATATGGTCAAGCTCTTCTTTCACCAACTTTGTGTTTTGTATTAAGAGGCACATAAATTGCAGATTCATAGAGCGTTCTGATATGTAGTTGGTTCTATGGTCGGACCGCTGTTTCACTTCGGTTTTGATAACTATGGTATGGTATGTTGGCTATAGCAGAAAAGGGAAACTAATTTTTAATTAATAGTGAACTTAGGACTGAATTGTGATTAATAATAAGGATTTGAAAATCTTAATCAAATTATACGGATGATTTGGAGGAGACTTTGATCAAATTAAATTGCAAAGTGGTGGGGATTCCATGACATGATATTTGTGAGGGGTTTAGGATGTTTGAATTGCCTACAACTCCAAGCTGAATCTTCATGTGATTGCTTTCCAAATGTTATCTATCAAGGCATATGTAACACATTTCATGAAGTGATGATTATGATATTCAGTCTAGATTTTACATTAGTATCTATTGCACCCAATGATACTATTTTTCCACTCTAATGGTGGTTAGCTGCCACTTTTAATTATCCACTCATGCAAACCATGAAGCCCTCTAGTGTATTTAGCGTCGGTTGTTTACTTTCAGCTCCATATACTTTTAATAAGTTCATGAGTACTTTTTGAGGTAATTTCTTCATATTTATTAGGCATCCATATGAGCTTATTTTTTTCCTCCTTTCTGCCTTCCTTTCGCTTTCTAGGAGTCTTCATTGAGCCTTCGATGAAACCAAAAATTGAATTTAGAGCCATGTCCCTATGATCCGAGGGATGTCAAAAGTGTTCATCTTTTCTATGCCCAATACACCCTCACTATTTTAAGTTTTATATGCCACCTCTTCTAATAAACTTTCTTCTGATTGGTTGTGTCATCATGAAGTTGGTTTGAAGCCTCTATTGTAGTGAAGGTAGTTTGACAATAGAGCATTAATGAGTTGAATGGGGTTAAGGCATCATGTGACCAAGGTGAGTCCGCAAGGGAAGGGAAAGATTTTGATCTTCCATCCTTTGAGTTTGGATATAACTTTACGAACAATAGATCTGCGAAGTTTACGGGTTAGGCCCCCTTGGATATTTGAGTTCGCAAAGTTTATACAGTGCTGTCAAATTTGCTTCGCTTCGGCCGAAGAGGTTGAAGCCTTCAAAATTTAGGCCTAGATCAAAGTGAAGCAAAGCTTGGTGCTGCCGCTTCGGTCATATTCGGGTATGCTTGGGGCCGATTCGGCCAAAGCTTCAGCTTTTTCGGCCAAAGCAAATAAATATCTCTATAAAATTAATTTTTTATTTTTCTCACTAAACCGAAGAAGACTCTGAAACGAATGTGACAACATTGGTTAGTCCTTGGAATAGCTGCAAAACCTAGATAAGTATTGGATAGATGCAAGAAGAGTTGTACTTCAAAATGAGACTCATTCAAATTTGTCCAAAGGTGGTAGAGTTAAGAAAATATATTTCTGGATCAAGCTTTTCTTGAGGCAATTGCAGTACTGGTAACATTAAAGGGTACGTGGAAGGGATTGGTGTAATTGTGTGTGTAGAGAAAAGGGTGGCAGTAGTATTTAACTCTAGGGATCTGAATTGGTTAGGATCTCTCTTACAACTTACTTTCTATGTCTATATGGAACGTATATGGGAATAACGGGTACGCTTGTTGAAGCCTATCTTTTTGCCCTTAAAAATAGCCTGAAGGGGTGACATTAAGAAGAATTCAATATTTCGGTGTTTATTTTGACCTAATAATGAATTTATTTCTAAACCTATGCATTTAAAGTTCAGTTATTAAAATTTGCCAATTGATTTTGTTAAACAACCTTACGGATGTCAATTATCCAACAAAAGATATTTTTTGTTTTCTTGCCATGCTATGGATAAATTCATGTACAATTAGAGTTTGCTTGAAGATGTTTTGATTTTAAAGAAAGGCAACTTCTGTGGATTTTCAATGAGAGAACATGACCAATATGCATAAGTCAAATGTCATGAGTAAAAGAAAAAAATTCATGTTCTCGTTATTGTATTCTGACGATATCTTAACTGCAGAAAATGAAGAGATGATTAATGCACCTGAGTTGCTTCTTAATTTGTGTCGGGGTGTCAAGGGACTGAGTCCAAGGTTAAAAAATTTAAAATTTTTTGACCTAATATCATAAAACATCTGTTATTTGTATTTACAGCAAATATAGTGACATTCAAGACTGAATTACATGTAAATATACACCCTAAATACTGCAGTATAAATTCCTCAATTCTTCTAGTACTTGTTCCACTAATTTCAATATTTGGAAATGGATCAAACATTTACACTAAAACACATGAAATTAATCCATACACAGAAGGACTTAAAATACACAATGTAACATTTTTGGGTAATTAAGTGGGGATGACGAGCTCCTACCTGTTTTCTAAATCGTTAGTGGTTTTTGAAAGCGGTGAGAGTGGAAACCTAGACTTTAGCTGGGGCACAAGTAATGCTACCACCACAGCCAAATTGTGCACAAAATCTCAATACTAAAGGAAGCTAATTGTGGATAATAAATTTGCCGATTAAGGTCTTAGTTTTAATCCATGTGGTCACCCTATTCCGATAGCACGAGCAATTTGATCGAATCTAAACTAGACTTATGGGAAATAATAGAATAGGATTGCAAGCTTCAAGACAAGATGAAATACACAAAATATACATAAACATGTTTCCATGAAACAAAATTAAGAAAGATGGTGCATAGGGAAGGCCTAGGTAGTGGGAAAATGCACACCTGTATGGTTGAATCAATTTTGCCATAATATTTTCTTAGGATTTGAACTTATGGGAAACGACACGAACTTAAAAATATACTATTTTCTAAAAGTGGATGATGTGAACTAAAATGGTCTATGCAGTTTAAATATTTCTTTTTAAAATCGGGTAGAATATTTACATAAGTCCACTGAATACAATAGTAACTCAAATAAATAAATAAGAAACTCAAAAAATAGATTTTCACTTGCTATCACTTTAATAACTATTCATTACATAATAAAAAATTGCATCAACTTGAACATGGGAACAAGAAACATAAGGATGCAATAAAAAAAATAAGATGCCAAAAATTATCTCAATTAGACTTTGCACACCCCACAACGGTCTCCTCCCCAATGGTGCCCGTAATCAAGGTATTTCATAGATCTCACAAAGTTAAGAAGCTTTGGCTAGAAACTCTTCAAAGTTGGTGGAACAAACAAGGGCTTAACTCTTGTTTCTTTATGCTTGGGGTGTACCCCCTCTAAGTCTCCTTCAAAAGCTTGGGGTGTGTCCCTTTGTTTTCTTTAGAGGGGCTATGAGAAAATGCATAGCGAAAGATAAAAAGAGACGAGAGAGAGGGTAGCATGCTACCATGAGGGGAGAGAGAAAGTTTTACGTTGTGGTGTAGAGACGGCCCCAATTGAGAGATTTTATTGAGATGAAGCTAACAGGGTTAGGGTGTCTAGGGTTTAACCATCCTTATAGAGATTTTACTTAGACCACTAATTGGATGTGACCTGTGAGGTGCGAGATCTTAGCCATATTATTAATAGATCAAACATCATGATCCAATGGAAGGGGCTGAAACCTTATTCCTCAGCTTTGTTAATCTAATCTTATCAAATATTTAGTGCAGAGAAAATATAATGCATTTGCTTTTTATTTTTAGCCAATTTCAACACATGCTACTTTGAAAGTTAATTAGCCTCCTTTAAAAAACGTTCCTACTTTGTTTCAATCAATTAAATGATTAATGACATAAGCCACAACACAAATAAAAAGAGGGAGAAAAATGGGGTGTGCCACTCCATGGCCACTAGTGGGCCCCACACCCTCAACAAAATAGGTTGGGATATTGGGGCCCATATATTTTAATAATATTACAACCATAAAAGTGATTTTTTAGAAAAAAATAAATATTTTGTTTTCTTACCTGAATATTTAAATATCAAATAATTCAGTTTAGTTTATTTAAATATCATTTTTGATGAAATAAAATATCCAGAAACTTTTAAAAATTTATTTTAATATTTTAAAATTATTTATAATAAAATAAAGTACCTCTAAATTAATTTGATGGGAATCAGGTCCAACTTTGTTAAGAAAAAAAATGAAAATATTGAGGCACTCCATCTCTACTAGTGACTATGTCTCACACTCAATTTCTCAAACTGACCCAGTAGTTTTCATGATGTCCAGTCCATTACAAGGGTTCATGATTGGGCTACCAAAGCTAGCCAATAACTGATGAGAATACAATTCTAGTCTATGGACTTTAGGTTCTTCTAGGGACAAGCTAGGTCAGATAGACCTATGCACACACTTCGCAATTAGTGTATGGGTCATCTCTCACATATTTATATGCAACACATTCAATAACATTTACTTCCCAATATGACTATCATATGTATATACCGTGTGGTAGTCATGATGATGATTTAGCCATTGTCCCTTCGGGCCTGCCAATCACGCACAAGAGTCACAAAGTCTCTTGGCGAATTTCCCTGGGTATTTCTCCATCCTCATCAAGGGTAATACTGATAATGTTTCTCGGCTCTGCAATATCCTCAAGCATCACAGGGTTTAATAAAATGTGGCTTAACTCATGAAGCTTAGTTTGAGTCTCGGCATCAATATTGCCAACTTCGATCCCTTTGGACCATACGCCAACTGGAGTTTGTTGTTTCACTATAATAAAATTCATTACATGCCCTCATAAGGCCTTTAAATGGCCAAAAATATTCAACAGTTTCCAAGTGGAATTTGGAGAGAGTGAAGGTGAGTTAGGGCTTTAATCCAAAATGAGAAATACCTATAAGATGCCTTACATCCTGACCATATATTAGATATGGATAACTGATCTTTAGATCTAAAGGTGTCTATGGATTGGAGAGAGAGGCTTGATTCTAGCATTTTAACTATAACACTAGCGATCATAGATGTGCAGTTGAGATTTATCACCTTTATCCCCACATGTGAAAGAATAATTCAAAATTTCTGATTTTCTTAATCCCATGGTTTAAAATAAATATGT